GACCTGCCAGTGGCATTTCCCTAGTGGAAGGGCTGGAGTGCAGCAAAGTTCTGGTGGCAAAAAGGCTTTTCGGAGCAATTTGGGTTACTTCTGCATGTCCGGTTGGGTGGTTTCCGTTTCGGGGATGAGCCGGCTTCCCCCTCCCAGCTGCACCACGGTGCAAACCCAGACGTGCCACAGACACGGCTTCAGTCTCCTGGGGTTAAAAGGAAGCAAATCCATGGGGCTTGGCAACAAGCTTGGCTTTCTTTTCCTTTTTTACCCCAAACCTGGGAGGGAGGAGCAGGTTCAGGCAGTTCCTGGAGCAAAGGACCCCCCGCGCCAGCCCCGCTTGGCCCTGTCCCGGCTCCTGCAGCGCTCGGCTCCGGCGGGAAGCTGCTTTTAAAGCCCCTTCCTCTCGTGTGGACTCCGTCGTGTCCGTCTCTTATCGTTCAATGGTTATTTTGTAATGATAATCTGTCTCCTTATTAAAGAAACGAGCTGAAAGGAGCCCTGTTTCCCTTCTGGTCTTGCTGCTGGGGCTCAGCGGGGTGTCCAAGGCAGGGGGTAGGTCCCCGGGCTGTCAGCCCAGGGACAATGGAGGGATGGAGGGGTGAGGGGAACCCCACGAGGGCCCAGGTCCCCCCAAAACACGAGTGAGCTCACACCCATGGCGGGGATGTCTCCGGGCAGCCTTGAGCCCTGGCCCAGATGTGGGGTGCAGGTGGGAAGGCATCAAAGGTCCCCACCAAATTCTAACCCCCGGCACATACAGTCTGGCCCGTATAATCATGTCTGGGTCCTGCCCAGCTTTGCAGGTGCTGGATGCCCCAAAACCCAAGGGAAGAGCTCAGGCTTGTAGTGACCAGCCCCAGAGACTGACCCATGGAGCGATTCCTAGCAACTTCACCTGGGACACAGGCTCTGGGACGTGGCACCAGTGCCCACGTCGGCGACGGGTTTGTCCTGACTGAGCTCCTGAGCAGAGCAAATACAGGGGTTGGCGTCGTGGGGGGCGATGGGCCAAGCCCCGCTGTGATTCAGAGGTGTCAGATGGGACCCTTGCCCGTCCGTCTCCCCGGCTGGTGGGACGTGCACCCACAGCTCCTCCACTGGAGCTTTCCCTGAATGGGCACACAAGGACCGCTGCCCTTCCCGCGGTGTAACTGCGCGTGCACGTAGCTGCAGGGCATTTCTGCTTTTACAGCCGACTGGCCCAGTTGTGCCATGGAAATTTTGGGAGAAAAAGGGCATTGTAGGCTAAACAACTTACATCCCAAGAAAGATGGAAGCAAAGTCAAAGCTTCTATTTTATCAACTCTTATTTTATTCATTTATAAATACTGTTGTGTTTACAAGCATCATAGATGTGAATATTATTCCCAAACTTTCAAACACGTAATACTTATAATACTATGTAACAACAACCAGTAAAACAAATCATTCATCTCAGGGTTTGAAAGGCCACTCAAAAGTTGCATAAAAATACATTCTCTCCCCATCTCGTAACCTAGTCCTGCTTCTCCAAGTTTATTTACAAAGAGCCATCGTCAAACTCGCAGCCACAACAGGCGGGTTCACCCCCAGCAATAAAAATGAATTCACCCCAAGCAGTTGCTTAGAAAAAAAGCTTGTGTTCTCCAAGGGAGAGCACATCTGGCAAATGCTCTGGTTCAAATAGGGATCAGCTTTAAAAACCTCTCGCTTTGCACTCCGTCCCAAGCGCAGAGTGCCAGGTGTCCTGTTCGCTACCTCCCCAGCGCACTGGTGATGTCAGGCGTTCCGTGAGCCCAACGCAATTCGTTCTCGAGAATCTGGTTTGCAGTCGCACTGTCATCACAAAACACTCACAGCTTTGGCTAGTCAGCAAGACTAAACTGCTGGTGGGTCCTCTACCCTAGTCAGAGTGCAGGGGGATAATCCAGTGCTACGCAGACGCGTCATCTGAAGTGGTTTGGCTTTGCAAGGTGCCACGCAGAGGAACCAAAGCCTTCCGCACCCTCTGCACACTGTTCCTCAGCATAAAACGCAACGAGAGTCCTGGCAGGGAGGGGCTGAACGTCAGTGCAGGATGGATTTGTCAGATTGGGTTGAACCCTCTCCCTAAAACAGACACCAGGCTTCTTCATGCTGCCAGGAACCCGCCTCGTGAGAAGAACAGGATCTTCAGTCTGACATCTCGTCCCTTGTCCTGCTGGGACGCACGACCCGAGACGCGCTGGCGTGCCGGGACCGCGCCAGCCCAGCAGGAAGTGCCTTCTCCCTGTGGCACAGAGGGGACCAGACTCCAGTTTAGAACTGAGAGAGCCCAAGTCTGCAGTGAGGAGTGGGTCACCAAGAGAAAAAACATCAAGAAACGCAGAAGTACTCACATAAAGAGTGCACCAAGTGGGAACGGCGTGCAGAAAAAGACCGGATCTCAAGACTTAAAGCTGTTAAACACAGCAGGGTTAAAAGAAAGTAATATAAAATGGATGCCCGGCTTAGGCAGTGCTCTGCAGAGACCCTGATGCCATTACCAGCTTTGGTCTCTTCCTCCCCTAAGCACAGCAGCAGAGGAAGGGCCTCAGTGTACCAGGAGAAACACCACCTCGTGCCGTGCAGAAGTAACTCTGCTGGCTGAAGA